TTCACAACCGCACCCTGCAAACCATCGGGCCCAGGGGCCCCCGAGACGGCCCAGGAGGGGCCCAAGAGGGGCTCCCATGAGGGCGTGAGTGGTTTGGCAAGCTTCCTTTTCCAGCACCCCCCTTTCCCTTGAGGGAGGGGCTCACCCCTCCCTCTATCCCCGCACTTGGACCTGTATGGTGGGTGCCGCGACCAGTTGGAGCGTCCAAAGTCCCCGGCGAGACGGCACAAATCATTGACTCCGCCTAGGTGTTGGACCCAGTCGTCTCCGTCATCCTCCGTTCCATTTCTGTGGGCACTCCTCCTCAAGCGCGCCATCCAAAGCGAAATTGAGCAACGTCGGAGCGGAGTCGAAGAGAAGCCCATTCCCTCTGATCCCTTCCCCACGGGGGGGGGTCCTGGGGGGTCGCCACCCAGATACGCTTCCGCCCCGCGCGGTCCCGGAAGCCCGAAGAAGTCCTCGAGCGTTCTCCACGAGACTCCCAAGAGGCCGCCGGCGCCCCAAGAGTCTTCATCAGGGTGCCCTGACGGAGGGACCGAACGGACATTTCGAGCCCTCGGCCCCGAGAGGGTCCCGGGTGGCCCCAGGAGGACCCGACAGGCCCCCAGGAAGCTTCGAGAGGCTCCCGAGAGGCTGCCAAGAGGCCAGCAAGGTGCTGCCAAGAGGCCCCCAAACTGCTCTCCAGAGGCCTGCGAGAGCGCTTCGAAGAGACCCTAATTAAACAGCATCACTGAGGACTATGATGCACATCAGCGTTGTGTCGTCGTCACCGCCGCCGCCGCCGCCGCCGTCGTCGTCGTCGTCGTTGTCGTCGTCCCCCTTCAGGGTCGGCGGCATCGGCCGCAAGGCCTTCGCAATCATCGACTCCGCCTAGGTCTTGGACCCGACTGGGCCTTGTGGGGGGGGGCTAATATGGTGCCGCACCTTCTTTGATCGAGCTCCTCCAAGATGGCTTGCGCCCAGAAGGCCCCAAGAGTCTCGTGAGGTTTTTAGGAGCCCCCCAAGATGTTCCGGGAGGCCTCCGGGGCCGCCGAGACGCCCCCAAGACACCCCACGAGGACCCCAAGAAATGTTCAACAAGACATCCGAATGGATCTCTGCGCGCAGCCGCTGATGCAGCGGCGACGCCCGTTCTCGCAAGTCAAAAAGCAGCGGCGACGCCCGCCACTCGTCGCCCCCCTTGTCGTCAGTTGCGCCATTTTCGCTGTCAGCCGCCCCCGGCCTTTCCTCGAGGGCTGTCACCGACGCGCCGAGGGCCTTCGGCGACGCGTGGATCGCGCGGCCCTTCTGCCATTTCGCCAGCCTCCGGATCTGCGCAGGGAACGGCGCGACCGACTCGTAATCATCGCTGGCTTCACGCGGGGCTTCGGCGCGGCAGCTTCGGTTGCCTGTGCATCCTCCCCCTCGGGGTTCGCGACGTCGGGGCTGGCCCACGCGTATGTCCCCATGCCGCCCTCAGGAGACGCGCTGCTCGCCGGGTCGTTGACCTTGACACCGCCCCGCAAGCGAGCATGTAAGTACAGCGTGGGCGCTTTGCGCCGCCCACCGCACCCAACTTTCAGCACGGGGCGCTCCGTGTGTAGAGGGCAGAACCCCCCCCCCATAAAAATCACCCCGACACGCGAAGCCGTTGAGTAAACGCGCCAATTGTCTGGTCTGGGTGATTTTTCCTCTCTTGCGTCTGTCGGAACTACTCCAAAGCTGAACTATGTTGCAAGAGGCCAACCAGCTGCTGTTGGAACTCAAGCGCGTCACTGGGGTGTTCATGAGGCTGCAACAGGTCGCGGCATACACGGGCGCCCACGGTGAACAGCCACGGGACAGAGTCCCGCAGAGAAGACCGCATACACGCCATGGCCGCTAAGGCTAGCCATGGGCGCATCAACACGTTCGAGCCGACTGAATATACCCTGAGCATTTCCTTGGGTGAAGGGCTCAGGGTGAAATTCATATAGGCTTTTGCACCTCGAAGATCAGTCCGTCTTGTCACTCACCTTTTGCAGACTCAAACCTCAAACATTAAGCCATTCTGGCACCTGCAGCCGTACGATATCGCGAGCCTCGCATCAGGACCAGGAAGCCCCACGAGGGCTCCAGCAGCGGGACCAGCTGGCGGCGCGCACAACGGGGTACGGGGGAGGGGGGGGGCTTCTTAGAAGGAGGCTGCTTCTCAGAAGGCGCCGGCCTCACATCTACAGAGAAGGCCCGCGCCTTCTAAGAAGCAGGGGTGCTACTAAGAAGCCCTCCCCCCTCCCCCCAAACCCCCTCTGCGCGTGGCTGATAAAAGCTTTCGACCGTCCTCCAGCTGCTTACCATCGAACAGCGGCCGCTGCTCTCCGCTGGGGGTGCGCTCCTTGTCTTCAAAATTTGCCAACGCAGCTATAATCATGCTGGTCGCCATCAAGCAGCCCTGGTCCTGGTCCTGGGTCTGGTGTACAAGACCCCCTCCCTGGAGCATGGCTTTTGTACACCCAGCGTTGCCCAAGGCGGTGGAATCTGACTGGGACGGGGAGGGTGTGGCATACCAACAGACACCCAGATCTCGTCGGAGATCTGGGGGGGCGCCTGTGGCAACACTCAGAGAGGGACGCCGTGAAGGAGGCGGACACGGAGGCGCGGCCGGAGCGGGCGGGGCCCGAATGCCGCGTCAGCGGGTGCCGTCCAGGAGGCGCAACACCCCACCACGGCGCAGGCACCGCGGCCCCAGCGGAGCGACGCGAAGAACGGGGTCTTAGAGTCAGCCCGTATAATTTTTATAGGGCAAACATCCACCCGCCTGACAACCACCCCGACACGCGAAGCCGCTTACTAACCGCTCCCACTGCAGGAATGGAACAGGGCAGGACTGTTTAGTAAACGCCCAAGGCCGCTTAATGAACGCCAATTGTCCGGCCCGGGTGGTTTTTCCTCCCTTGATGATCAGGGCGCACGGCGAAGATGCAAGGGCCTTGGAGGGCCATGTCGGCACTTTGCGAGCGGGGCGCGGCCAGCGAGAGCGGCCAAGGATTGGCCGAAGGGGAAGGATGCCAGGGTAACATTGGAAGCTGGTTCATCCTTGCTAGGCGGGCTTGCCGTGCGCAAGATGGCGTGGCGACCTCATGCCGCGGCATGCGCGGGCCGCCAGCCTGGCAGACCGCGTGCAGAAGAGGGCGCTTGCGCGCGGCCTGCAGGTGGAGCCACGGAGAGGCGGCGCTCTTGCGCACAGTGAGACAGTGGCCCTGAGCCGCAGAATGCGCGGGCCGAGGCACCACTTGCAGAAGAGGCTGATTTCGCACGACCTCGCGAAAAGAAACATCCGCGCCACCGACTCCCTTTGCTCTGGTCGCTCAGTGTGGCGACGACATGGGCAAAGACGAGGGACATGGCGAGCGCCGAAGAGCAGATCACCGTTGGTTTCCAGGGCGTGAGGCCTGCGAAGGAACGGTGGAGGGAAGGCTACTGGGGAAAACGCTAACCATCGAAGAACTAAAATGGTCCACCCTCCTGCCAACACCAACCAACCCTCTGGCCAACCCCTGCCAAACCAACCGGCAAGCCCCTCGGCCACACCCTGGACAGGACAAATCTTTCTGGGAGACCAACGACATGGGCAACATGAAAGGGTTGCTCAATTTTGCTGTCGTCGTCTCCGTCGCCTGCGCCACCAGACCAGTTGAGGGCTGTACGACCATGAGATTTGACGAACTTTCACATTTGGCTTCGCACCCTGTTTGTACCCTCGGTGCAACCAGAGGTGGAAACAGAGCCCCTTAGCAACTTGGACGGCAATTCTGCGCAATCGCAGCTAGAGCCGTGTCGCCAACATCAAACAGCGACTGCACGACAAGGCGGCAAAACTGCCCCAAGTACGCCCACGGCTACACTAAAGAACAAAGAAACGTACCAAAGAATTGGGCAAGCCGAGGGGCCGAGCGACCGAAAGGCGGCGGGCGAGCCTGGGGCGACCAGTGCAGCCGACGGCCATTCGAAAACAAGCAAAAAACAACAAAACCAAGAAATGGGGCCAGCCGGGGGGCCGAGCGACCAGCGTCACCCAGGGAAGTGACAACCAAACCCTAGAAGTAGATTAGGTTTGCGCCCGCCCTCAAAAACAACAACAAATATATATATATATATATATATATATATATTATTGAAATAGGAAGGCGCTTAAAGTAGATCGGGATCTGGAAATCCAGAAATACCTACTTTCAACGGCCGGTGGGTATAGGACAAGGACAAGAAGAAAGATCAGAGGGCGCAACCAACACCCATCTTAGGGCCACCTAGGTCCACTTGGGCCCTGTCGGAACCAACTTCGGCACTCTGGGGAGTCTCGCGGGCTATCTTGGAGGCCCTGGGGCTGGCCCAGGAGGCCTCCAATTGGCTCTAAATCCAACAAGTTGCTGCGCGATCTGAGCATTGTGACCGCATCGGTTGCAAGGGCGCCCAAGACGGCCCAACAAACCCCCTAAAACCAACCCAATAGGCCCCAAGCACGCCCCCAAGAGGGGCCCATGAGGCCGCCCAAACGTGTCAAAGAGGGGCCCAACATGCACGTCACCGTCGCAGCGCTGGAAGCCAATCCCCGCAACATGATCCCAACCCAACGAGGACGAAAAAGGCCCCAGGCGTACCCAGGACGCACACGAGCGGGCCACGTGCCTGCAAAAGCCCCCCCCAAAAAAAAACCCGGGGTCCCCAGACATCGCCCCGAGGCCTCAGGAGCACGCCTCGAAATGGCGGCGGGAGGGGTCCAGGACCATTTGATCTTCGCCGTCGCATGAAAACGCCAAGTACCCAGGTCCCAGGCTTACTCCCGCTCGAGGAGGTCCCTTCGGGCCCCTCGACGCCACGTGAACCTGGCGTTTGTAACCACGCCTGTCCAAGATCAACTGAAGGGCGAAGTACAAGCAAGAAGGCGAGAGAGAAGGAGAGAGAGAGCGAGCAACGACCGACAACATGAACATCCGCAGAAACCACAGCCCGCTGGGGGGAAGAGGGAGAGACCCAGACCCATCCGCGATGGTCACCGTCGGGTTCCGCACCATGAAGCTGCAGATGTCGCGGCGCAGCGTCGCCGCAGACGGCCTCACAGGATCTTGCGCACAGCATGCGCACGTACATGTTCGTCGATCGGAAGAGGCGGGTACAAGCATGCAGCAGGAGGGGTTGACAGTATGATGGTTTGCGGCCCGCCCCCTGAGCAGAGGGGAAGAAGGAATGGCATTCGACTCCTGACAGATGTGCGAGTGGGCTTGGGAAAGGACTGGGAGATGAGGAAGTAGAGGGGAAGAAGGAATGGCATTCGACTCCTGATAGATGTGCGAGTGGGCTCGGGATTGGATCGGGATCTGGCGATCCAGACACACTTCTTCTCAACGAGCTACGGGTGCGTCCTCACTTCGTCACTCTCTCTCTCTCTCTGTCTCTCTCTCCCTCTCTCATTATTCCTTATTGTTTATTATAGTTGCTGTGTTCTCTCTCTCTCTCTCGTTGTCTCTCTCTCTCTCTCTCTCTCTCTCTCTCTCTTCTTATCAATATCTATATACATGCCTGTACGACCACCCTTCGGGTGATCAGGAGGTTCGGGGGGGGGAACCAACGTCTCACTCAATCGGTCTCATTATCGATCTCAGTATCGATCTCACTATCGGACTCGCTCGATCGATCTCACTTGATCGATCCCACTCGATCTATCTCATTCATTCGATATCACAATTGATCTCACAATCGATCTCACAATCGATCACACAATCGATCTCACATTCGGTCTCAATATCGATCTCACTATCGATATCACAATCGCTTTCATAATCAACGGCATCATCATCATCAACATCATCAACATCAACATCATCACAAACATCGTCATCATCATGAGGGCACAGTCACCATCATCATCATAAACATCATCATGAACGTCAGCACCATCATCGGGACAACATCATCATCACCATCACCATCATCATCTCATCATCAACATCATCATCATCGTCATCATCATCATCGGGGCACAGTCATCGTCATCATCATCAGCAACAGCATCAGAATAATCATCATAATCGGGACACCATCATGATCACCATCGTTCATATCATCAACATTATCATCAACATCGTCATCCTCGGGACACCATCATCATCATGATCATCGCATCATCATCAACAACAACATCATCATTGGGGCACCATCATCATCATGAGCAACATCATCATCAACATCGTCATTATCATTGTTATCATCATCGAGACACCATCAGCATCACCATCATCATCATCATCATCATCATCATCATCATCACCGTCATCATCATCATCATCAGCATCGTCATCGGGACACCATAATCATCAACATCATCATCATCATCATCAACATCATTATCGCCGGGACACCAGTTCCATCAACATCATCATCACCAACATCATCGGAATCATCATCATCATAGGGACACCATCATCGTCATAATCATCAACATAATCATCATGAGCATCATCATCTTCATCATCGGGACACTATCATCATCATCGACACCATCATCAACATCATCATCTTCATCGGGACACCAGCATCATCATCATCTCATCATCATCATCAGCAGCATCATCGGAATCATCATCATCATCTCATCATCATCATCCTCGCGGGACACCGCGGGACACCGGCGGGACACCGCGGGACACTGCGGGACACCGCGGGACACCGCGGGACACCGCGGGACACCGGCGGGACACCGCGGGGCCCCGGCCGCCCGGAAGGGAATCATTTGGTCCGGCCGCGCCTCAGCCACACGGGACACCAGCGGGACACCGGCGGGACACCGCGGGGCCCCGGCCGCCCGGAAGGGAATCATTTGGTCCGGCCGCGCCTCAGCCACAGGAGACTTTCTCTCGCCCGCCCACGCAGCTTCGCCTCGCCCGCACGGCACGCACGAACACGAAACCGAAATCGATTTCCCGGTAGGGGGGCTCTCCGTTCCACTTCGATCTCACCCCCCAACCTCCGATTCCTGTCTCTCTCTCTCTCTCTCTCTTTCTCTCATGCTTCAGGGTCACAAAGAGGGGAGGTGCCCAAAAAGGCCCCAGGGACTCCAAAAAGGCCTCCAGGAGGCCTCACCCTGCGGCGCGCACAGGGGGGTAGGGGGAGGGGGGGAAGCTTCTTGGAAGGAGGCCGCTTCTTAGAAGGCGCCAGCCCTACATCTAGAGACACGATCCGCGCCTTCTGAGCAGCAGGGGTTCTTCCAAAGAGCCGTCCCCCCTCCTCCCCCTGCCCCCCCCTGCGCTTGGCCGAACCCTTTCCAGCACCTCCGTTGTGCGCCAGTCATAGCGCAACGCGTGGCGCTGCCTCTCGAGGCACGCATGCCCGGTGCACACGTGCTGTGCTCGGTGCACGCGTGCTGTGCGCATCTGCTGGGGCGGGGGGCGCGCACTGCTACGCTCCCAGAGAAGTGCAAAGGCTGCTGGCGGCAGGTTCGCGTCGTGCCGACTTCGGCGCTGGTTCTCGACTCCGCGGGGCTGAAAGACCTGTCCCAGGGAAAGGGTCGAGACTCCGGAGGACCACGTATTGAAAAAATCCGGACGTCGCATGTGTGGGTAGCGACATTACGCGGTGGTGGGTTCGTGTCGTGTCGACCCTGGCGTTTTGTGCCTTGCACCACAGGAATCATTCAGCCCTGAATGATCGGCCGTTTCCAAGACGTCAGATCGTCCAACCTCGACCGATTCTGGGTCGCAGGCTGATTCAGCGCTAAATGCCTGCCACGTTTCGCCGACAATCGACATGACGCGGACCTATCGTGCCTGTTCTGACTGCCACGAGCTGCATCGGATTCGGACCGGACCAGGACTGAGCCCAAACCGCTGTTCGGACGGACGGCCGGGTTGGCGAGCGAGTGGCCAACGTGCCACGAGAGCACGCCCCTGCCCCATGCCTCATGACGTCACGCGGCGGAGTAGCGGCTCGCTGGGCGGGCCGGCCGCATCGAGCTGTCGAGGCGGCTCCATGGAGGAGGAGGAGGAGGAGGAGGAGGAGGAGGAGCGAGGGAGGAGGAGGAGGAGGAGGAGGAGGAGCAAGCGCGGACATATTGCGAATCACAGGCGGGGGCTGTGCGAGCGCGCCTGTCGGGCAGGCCGAAGCTCAGCGAGTGGAACAGGCACGAGCCGTCACCCGGTTGCGCGTACACCTTCGCCTGTCGCCGAAGCGGGGACCGGCGGGGCGGGGCCACGGGCAAAGAGGGGGGGGGGTCAGAGAAGTGTCGCTCAAACAGCCCCTGGAATAAGGCCATGTCTAACCAGCCTCGAACGTATCCCTATCCCTAACATGGGCGAGCAAAGAGCGAGGACAATCTTAGGGATAGGCCCTCAAAAACAGAGGGAATCCTTCAGATCGGCATCGAGGTGAGGTGATGTCAAACATAGGGATAGGGATATGTTCCAGGCTGGTAAATGTCATGTGGGGATCCCTGCGGACTCCCCCACGTTGGGGTAGCCTCTTCCTCTACGAAGCCCCAGCACAAGGAACATCCGCCCTCCGTGACTCTGGCACGAAGTGCAGGGCCCCAAGGCCCCTCGGACCTCCCGGGGTGCGCTCTGACTGGGATTTCGATGCGAATCCAGCGGCGGCGACGAGGGTCCTCCAGGGAGGCCCAAAGAATGACACAACTGGCGAGAGGGGTACAGGTATATGGGTATCTTTTCCTCCTCTGACCTACAAGCCCGGACCCCTGGTTCCGCGGGCATTTCCGGGAGCTCCCAGGAGCCCCTGGGTGTGCCGCGTGGGTTTTCTGGGAGCCAAGACTAGGTCGGTCGTGTCCCCCTACAGGCGGATCTTGGACGAAAAATGCAAGATATTCAAAGAGCACTTTAAAATGTCAAAATTAATAGAAAAATCGTCCCCATACTTTTTTGGGAGGTTCTTCCTGTAGAGGGACGTGCCCAACTCAAAGCCAAGAGGGCCCCCAAAACGGGCCAAGGAAGTCCCGGGAGGCCCCCCCCGATGGTCCACGAGGGCTCCCAGGCGCCGAGGATGCCAGAGAGGCGGCCAGAGAGGCCTGCAAGAGTCTCCACAAGGTGGGCCCAGGATCACCCCAAAGAGGGCCCCGCGAGGCAACAAGTACTGGCTTCTCGCAGGTTGTTTGAATGATATTGACGTTCTCACCCTCTCGGCTTCCCGGCGATCCAAGACGACCCAAGAGGCCCCCAATATCGCCCCAAGACAGCCGAATAGGCCTCCGAACAGGCACCACGAAACATCTTTGAGGACTCTGACCCGCAACCCAGGAACGTCGGCGGGATGAGCCGAAGGCCATTCGATATCCGATGATCATCACAACGTGTGTTGGCGCCAACGTGTGCTTGTCCATCGAAGCACTCCAACACGACGCTGCCTGCGATCGGCGGAGCTGAACGGGGTAAACACACCTGGGAAAACAAAACGCACGTCCTGAGGATCTTCGAGGGATGCTTGGCAGAGGCATGCGAGCAAGGAATGCGGGCTGCCGTCTGGCCGTGGTGGCGGACAAGGCGGCGGTGACGACACGCGAGGGGACAGAAACACCGGAGGACGAGGACACGGAACCGGACGGTCATGCCCGGGGGCTGCGTGCGGATCGGAGTGCACAGGAAAACCACCACAACCAGACAAGTCAGCACCGGTACATCAATGTCCTCCGCCGCCTCCTCCATCTCCTCCACCTCATTATCCTCCTCCTCCTCCTCCTCTTCCTCCCAGGTCGTCCTCCTCCTCCTCATCCTCCTCCCTTCCCGCTCCTCTTCCTACCTCCTCCTCCTCCTCTGCCTACTCCTCCCTCGCTCTCGCCCGGATACGTTCCCGTCGGCTAGAGCTTTGCCCCGCTGGCCGACCCACCTCCCTGGGTGGGGGAGCGATGCCGTTTCCCCGTCGGGCTCCGTGGCGCCTATCCCCCCAATGGTGTCGAAGCACCCTGGCCCACTGGAGAATGGGGGCTCTAACAATACTGGGCAAAGGATCGACACGATATACAGTCAACTCGCATAGTAGGGATGGGCAGTCTTCCTCAGGGTACCCTCGCATCCCTGTCCTGTCGGCCCATCCTTAGCGCCTTTCGCTGGCCAGCCTCGTTCGAAAAACGTTCACACGGGCCTCGAAGGCTTTTGCATGCCTACCGCGCATCCTTATGATACGGGTTGACTGTATCACGGCAAGGGCAGCGCAGAGAACCTGGTCCACAGCAGCTGCACAGCCAGCTTTGGAAGCGCAGGGGGAAGCATCACCGCGCAGCGCTGTTCAGCCATAGACGCCCATCGGGCGGGATTGCTTAAATATTTCTGCGAAGACTGCTCGACACCCACAAAACCCTACACATCGGATCAGCCGCAAGACAGAACAGCAGCAGAGCGCATCGGCACAGGGAGGCACAACGGGACGGGAAGGCGAAGGTGGCGAACGGAGGGAACGGCGGGAGAAGGGAGAAGGATAAGGGAACAGGGAAGGGGAAACGGAGAATGGTGCGGAGATGCGGAAGAGGAGGTTCGGGAATAGAATGGGGAAGGGGGAACGCTTGTGAGAGCAATTCGGTAGGAACATTGGCCTCATTGCGTTCGGGCGACATCGCGAATCAGGGAGGCACCCCGACTCCTGGGCCCCCCGCTTGACAGGTATTTCCGCTCTGGGCCGGTGGCCGACGTCCGTCGCGCGACCCTTCGAGTCTACGTGCGCCCCCCGTCACCCGCCAGGAGAAGCCTGCAACCGGACTCTTTCATAATCCCCTGCGTCTGATTCAGCACACCCGTGCACGCCTGTACCATCGGCAGCAAACGTGAGGACCTCAGAGACCTCTCGGCACACAAGACCTCAGGCCACAACATCACTCCGAAGCAGCACCCGTGCCCTCCCCGCCCTCCCCATGTCGGAGGAGGGCCAGTGAAAGCAACGGCGGCTCCTCCGCCCGGTCCGAGTCCGCTCAAAATCTTGAGCAGGGGCCGACCGTCCCGGCATTCCTAAAGGCCTGCCACGACATGTTCTCAGAACCCCAACATGCTCTAAGACCAAGAACAATGCTCTTAGGACATAAGCCTGGTGTGCGAAAGCAAGACAGTCTCAGTCAGAAATGTTCTAAAAACATTTCGTGCAGACCGCACAAGGCTCTTAGAACATTATTTGGTGGGCTTGTGGGCGAACCAGGACGCTCCGCCACTGCTTGAAAATGACCCCCTGGACCCCTTCTGGGGGTCCATCCTGAGCCGTGCCTGGGGCGGACCCGGCCACGGCCACGAGAAACCTCCAGGAGGGCAAGAGAGGCACAACAGAAACGCCAGGAAGGGCCGCTGCTGTCTCAGCAGGCCCTCCTTGATGCTCCTCGCTCGACGATCCTCGAGCCACCTCCTCGATCCTCGATCCTCCTCGATCAATCCTCGTTTCTCGGTCGACACTCGATACTCCTCGATCCCTGCGAATGTTGTTGGTCACCCAACTTTTGGATCATGACCCTGGTCTCCGTCCGCAGTGCCCCCGGCTATCGCGGATAGCTCTCGGCGGGGCTCCAGCTTGATGGAGACCTACACCCGAGGGCGCAAGAAACCGCCGAGAACCGCCAACAAAACGCCCGACAACCTCGACCTCTGGAACAACACAGCGATCACCACGATCCTTCTCCGACCCTTCTTCCCCTCCGCCACGTTCGCCTCCTCCCTCCCTCCCTCCCTCCCTCCCTCCCTCCTCCTCCTCCTCCTCCTCCTCCTCTTCCTCCTCCTCCTCCTCCTCTTCCTCCTCCTCCTCCTCCTCCTCCTCCTCCTTCTCGCCCTCCCCCTCCGACTCGCCCTCCTCCTCGCAGTGGTGTCCGGCGAGAGTCTGAGTGAGCGGAAGGAGTAGGAGGAGGAGGAAGAAGGAGGTGGAGGAGGAGGAGGAGGAGAAAAGAGGAGGAGGAGGACGAGAAGGAAGAGGAAGAGGAGGAGGAGGAGGGAGGAGGAGGAGGAGGAGGAGGAGGAGAAGGAGGAGGAGCGGGAGGAGGCCCGCTGGCCAGGGAGGGCCGCACGACCCGAGCCTCAGAGGCGCGCACGATCGGCACCTCGACGTGGCCGCTCGACGAGGCCCCGCCCCTGCAGGAGGAGCCTCGGCGGCTCGCGCGCGCGCGCCGAGCTCGCCGTGAGGAGGCGGCGGCCCTCCTCCTTCGCCTCCTCCTCCTCCTCCTCCTCCTCCTCCGCCTCCTCCTCCTCCTTCTCCTCCTCCTCCTCCCTCTCCTCCTCCTCCTCCTCCTCCTCCTCCTCCTCCTCCGCCTCCGCCTCCTCCTCCTCCGCCTCCTCCTCCTCCACCTCCTCCTCCGCCTGCGGCTCGGCGGCTCGCGAGCGAGCGCGCGCGCCGAGGCGGCGGCGGCGGCGGAGCGATGTCGGGCCGAAGGTCTCCCATGGCCACACAGCTGACACTCAAGGGGGCTGTTGGGCTATTTTGCGACCTCTCGTGTGCTCTATATCATAAGCGGGTGGGAGATTCGCACCCCCAAGGTTGGGAGCCCTGATTTGTCCTCGCGGAGGAGGAGGGGGAGCAGGAGGAGGAGGAGGAGGAGGAGGAGGAGGAGGAAGGACGGGAGGAAGGGAAGAGAAGTACGTGGAGGAGGGGAAAGAGGAGGAGGAGGAGGAGGAGGAGGAGGAGGAGGAGGAGGAGGAGGAGGAGAAGAAGGGAGGAAAGGAGGAGCGGGTGGACCGCCATGCATTTCCGGAGGTCGAGGATTTAGAACGCGTTCGGCGGTTCCGGGCGGAGGAGGAGGAGGAGGTGGAGGGAGGCGGTGGAGGTGGAGGAGGATTCGCCCCTCCTTGGCTCGTCCCGCTTCGGGGCCTGAATCGGATCTCGAACTCGAGCTAACGGAACGCCCCACAAGCTTCGATTGCGCCACACTCTCGGCGAGCTGTGCGCTCAGGCGCTCAGGCAGGTCGAGCTTGAGATCCAGATCAGTTCGGTCAGGATTCGGATGCCAGATACGATTTGGCCCACAACTCTGTAGAGAACAACGCAATCAATCACGGCATGAGACATATCAATTCAGCACGGCACAGCCCAGCATAATCCCTGGCACGGTTCATGACGATCGATACCTTCAACAATCTAACTGCTTGAAAAAGTGCCCATGCTTGAGATGCCCTCATTCCGTTCCTGGTCCGTGGGTCGATTAGGTTAAGCGTTTTCTAGGGCCCAACCCACCGCAGTCGACGCACGCGTCCCTCTGAAACCTTCCCCTCCTGAAGGTGCTCTACAGCGCTCTCTTCGTTGCACTGTTGCACATGCGTGGTGGCGGGGTTTGCCGCAAGCAGCTGGATACTACGACCATGCTCATGATACTTTTACTCTTGCTACTACCAAAACTCCTATTCCACGCGTTACTACTGCCAATATTACTCGCCCTATCGAGCATCGGCCTTTCTGGATTTCCTCTCCAGCGCTCCTTTCGGCCTCGGGACTGCCAAGATGGCCTCAAAGACGGCGTCGCAGGAAGCGATCACGACACCAAGACGGCCCACGATGGCCGAAGACTGATCAAGAAGCTCCCGAGACGCCCCCCCAGACAGCCCAAGAGGCTCCCGACGGCTGCTAAGAGGGCTGCAGGGAGGCCTCCAGGAGAGCCCGAGGCGACAAAGACCAGTGGTTCTGAAGGGTGCCGAGGTTCTCGCTGGTGTGGGGTCACGACCGTCCAAGATGGCCCGATGAGTATCCATGACAGCTCCCAGGCAGCCCAAGAGGCCCCCGAGAGGGACACAAGTCGGCCAACAAATACCTCAAGATCGTCCAAGACTCCCTCAAGAAGGCCCCAAGACGGCCACAACGCGCTCAAAGACAGCGCCCAAATGGCCCAACTATGCCTCTAAACGGCCACGGAATGCGCCATCCGGACAGAGGGGCCCAAGAAGACGAACCAAGAGACCCCAGCCAGACCCCAACCAGACCCCCAAAAGGACCCCAAGCGACCCCAAAAGGTCCTCAGGCGGCTCCCAGGACGTCCCTAGAGGGTCCTAAGGAGCCGCTTCCTCCTCTTCTCCATGTTGTCCATCTCGTCCTAATCCTCAACCTCCTCCTCCCCCTCCTCCTCCTCCTCCTCCTCATCCTCCACACCGCGCGGACGAAGTCGAGGTTGAGATCGCGACGTTAGGATCGCTCGCTGAACTTTGTCGGGGAAGTGACCTCGACCTCTCTCCATAAGCGCGGTCGACGACGACATCGAATTCACGACTCGTCACATTTCAAACCACTAGTCGGAACTGCTACACTGTTGCACAGGAACGACTGCGGAGTTTGCCGTCGGCAGGTGGATACTGCTACCATGCTCCTGGCACTCCTGATGCTACCACTACGCCTACTTCACGCGCTACTGCTGCCGATAACACTGCTGGTGCTACCAACTAGCATGCCGAATCCGCCACCGTGCCTGCACGGAGTGGGCGTGTTAGAGTGCTCGTCTGGTGATGTGGTTTGATGTTCTGGGGTCGGAAGCCCCCCACCCCCGCCCTCGCACACGCCGCCCTTCGAACATCGGCGTGTCTGGAGTTGCTCTTGAGCGCATGTTTCGGTCTCAAGGCTGCCTAGAAGGCCTCCAAGACGGCGTCACGGGCAGCTAAGCTGACACCAAGGCGCCCCATTGTGGCCCAAGACCACTCAAGAAGCTCCCAAGACGGCCCCCAAACCGCTCAAGAGGGCTGCAAGATGCCCTCCAGGAGAGCCACCGGAGACAAACGCCGCCCGTTATGTACCATAGGTGTGTGACGGATGCATATGTCCTCGCTGGTGTGGGGTCACGACTGTCCAAGATCCAAGATGGCCCACGAGCCCAGGCCAACAGTCGTCCAAGGAGGACCCCAAGAGGCCTCAGGCCCCGAAGAGGCCCCCACGCGCACCCCAAGAAGACCAGGAGGCATCCCAGAAGCACCCGAGGCGCCCCAAGAGGTTCTGAAGACCGCCAGGAGCCCCCCAACACGTCCCAAGATGCCCCCAGGAGGCCCCCGAGAGACGCAAGGAGTCCCCCGAGACGCCCCAAGAGGTATCCGAGAGACCCCGAGGGGCATCCCAAGAGACTCCAATATGCACCCACTCAGCCTCTGGCCCACGGGGGCACCCCGAGCTCTCCAAATGATGCCACGCTCTCGCGGGCAGCTCCAAATGATCGCACGCTCTCCTGGATGGGCTGGTGGGGATGCCCGAAGCGTTGAGAGTTCAAACTCCTTCCTGCTACGTTTCTGCACGGGCACGGTGGCAGGATTTGCCGCAGGCAGCTGGATATTCTTACTGAGTGCACCGCACACAAGTTGCGCCGCAGAGAGCACATCCTATAGACTGCACCACGTCGATCGCACTACAAACGTTGCACTAAAGAAATTACACCGCAGACTGTGTACCGCGTAGGGGTAGCCGCGTGCACTGCGAGATGCAATGACGGCAACTGCCCTCATATTGCACAGCATAAGTTGCATACCCGATACGGAAATAATCATGCTGTCGATTTGGGGCAATGTGCATCCCTTTCGAAGAAGTCCCATTCCTCTGTGAGTGTATGACATAGGCGAGTTTGGGTGTGAGTGATACTGACTTCGGCTGGCAGAGTACAACTGGGTCTCCATGAAACTAGGTCTGGGCATGAATGGGTCTCCACTGGTGGCTCCCCCTTGGGATACCCAAGTGCCACGCCTGCTGTGTCGAGGAGGTGCCCGCTCCCCCCCGGGTTGCCCAAATGCCATCCCCGCTACATCGCCGCGATCAAGCTCTGAGAAGCAACGCGCCCAGAGACGCAAAAGGGCGTTTGGATCGAGATGTGCCCACAGTCCGACCGAGAACGGGCCCGTGTAACACTCCTGGGCGGCTCCCCTTCTGTGGCCGAACTGCCAGCCTCACCCTGATAAGGATCAGATTTCGCTTCTCGGCTTTCAGGGGTTCTGCTGGTGGCGGAAGTGCTAAAGCGTCGCGGCGACCCAGCAGGACTCCCAGGATCCATCTGTTGCAGCGATTTGGGCCACAGGTCTCTGGAAGAAGAGGCGAGTCCAGAGCCGCGAACTGGCACCTCGCTGGAGGGAGAAAGGGTCAGCGAGAGAGAGAGAGAGAGAACAACAAAAACAACAAAAAAAACAAATAGAAAAAGAAATGGCACATCGGAGGGAGAGACGGCGAGAGCGGGCGAGCTGAGCACGGAGGACAGTCGTTGGCACGGCGCAGGCGGCCGCGGGCTCCCCTGCGGCCCGCCTTTGTTGACCCACGCGTCCTGGTGCTTGTCCCGCGCCTTCTTGAAGTGCGGGCACCTCGGGCGCCCGTTGGGTCCTCCCTCCTCCTCGGCCAGTCGCCGCTGCACGAGGCAGCCGGAAGCGCGGATCGGGGGGGGGGGGAGGCAGAACCCCAGATGACAGCACGCCCTTCAACGAGAAGGACCTGGGCCCAGACCCAGCGGGCGCAAACCCGTCACCGTCGCGACCGCAAATCGCCATCTCGAGAACCGAGAGAAATCGTTCGCCGATCGCCTTGGCAGGGCGGGTAGCCCAGCAGCCCTCGAATACACGGCCGGCTGCACGTGTGGAGCAGTCAGAGGCCACGTGCTGGAGACACACACGGGACCGCAGACGGCCACATGCGGAACCGCCGGCGGAACCACGTGCGGTGCCGCTGGCCGCGTGCGTGTCCAGCTCCCGCCCAGGCTGGCCACATCATGCACATCCAGCTGCCTGATCGGCAATGCGTGTCAGCGGCCTCTCCCGAGGAGAAGATATTGCGTCCCGTTCGCGTCTCGGAATCATTGCTGCATTGGTCCGCTTCCGTTCTTCATATGTTGCGCCACGACTACTGCATAAGTTGTTGGCACCGGCGGTGCAGCATCGCTGCCGATCGGACCACATAGGTAATGCCAAAATATACAGGCCCAGCCAGTGATGCGCAGAGCAGGGTTCTTCAGGAGGAACGACGACGACGACTAACGATGAAGGAGAGACGCGTGAATGTGATAAGCGGAAACGTCGTTGCCAGCGAGATGAAAGGCAATAATCCAACAAAGCTCAAGCAAACATACCAGCGCAACCGGCAGGCAATTCGATGGAACTGCACGGGGGTTTGGAGGATGCGACGGCCAGTGTCAATTCACATGCCTATTTGATCCGTACTGTCAACCTGCGTCCGCAGGTGGCGGGCACCAGGAGATAAGCGTGGCATGAGGGCGCTGGCTCCTCCAAACTGCTCGTTGGGGCAAGCAACATTCAGGAAAAGCCATCTCCATCCCAGTCACTTCCTCCCCCCTCCCTCCCCTCCCCCTCCCTCCCCCTCTCCCAATTTGGGTCGAGAGGAGGGAACGCCGCGGGCGACAGCAACAGCTGCACAAACAGAAAAATCGGGGATCTACTGACCCAGGTCAATCCAGACCCGGGTCAGACAGGCCTTCCAAGATCAGGCGAAATCCTACAGGATCCTGCACCCAAGCCCAGATCAGTGCAGCCCTGGCCTCGCAGGATCCTGCAAGATCCAGCGCTCTGACTAGCCTCCGTTTGCACTGACCCCCGTCTCTGTCTCCCGGACACAACCAGACCCCCGTCTTTGGAGCCCCGTCTCTGCAGCCCCGGGCTTCGAACCCCCTCTTCGGCCAAAACCACGATGTGCAGCCCGCTGTCTGCGCCGAGGTCGGTCACGGGGCTGCTGCTACTGCGTGCCCACATCAGCATTTGGCACACCCGAGTCGGGTACAGTGGAGGCCAGTTCACAAGAGACCTTCCACAAGAAACCCAACCCTGAGACCCCAGAACGTCCATTGATTTTTTTGGTGTGCGAACGTCGCGCTCCACACAGCAAAACCATCGAAACCCAAGAAACCCAGGGCACCGTGGAGGCAAGCAGGGTGTCTCTTGGTATAGGCCTAGGTCGGGCGTGCCCTCCTACGGGCGGACAGACATGCGCTGACAGATACTCATAAAAAATCCTCCCCAGACTATTTTTTACTAGTCTTGGATACTCTTCCTGTAGAGGAACAGGCCCTACTCAAGTATGGGCCCCCACAGCACGAAAGCATGGCAGCGATGCTCGACAGCTGACGCCTGCCCGACACCGACCACGGCCGCTGCGGAGCCCAGGGAGGGAGGCGCCGCGCCTCCCGCGGCAGCACCGGCAGCGAGCCATGCCCGTGGGTCCACTTCGGTCGGGCATGCCCTCCCTGCAGGAGGACTCTGCACGGAAGGTAAAACATCACCATCAGCAACAAAGATGCAACCAATGCAAAGCAGCAGTACACAAAGAATCGAGCATGTCCATCAAATAACAGAAAAAGTAGACAGGCAATCAACAAAAACAACGATAGTCAGAAAATCTTCCCCGATACCATCTTGTCTGCCTACCTTTGGAACACTCCTCTCGGGGGTCTTCTGACCGGGATCACCAGACCCAGGTCAGCTGGAAACCAAAAACCTGCAATGCAGGGAAAAAAATCTGCAGCGCAGGTCTTCGCAAACCCGGGTCAGCCAATATGCGCGGCCGCCTCGCGGCCACGAGCGGCTCGCTAACCCGGGTCAGCCAGAGGGGGTCTTCGCAGGATCCTGCAGGATCCGGTGCCCTGGCTGACCCCCGTCTGCACTGACCCCCGTCTCGAGGCTCCCGGTCCTCCTGCAGAGGGACATGCCCGGCTTCAGGGTCGACCGAAACTGCGGAGGGCCTGGGCTCCCGCTCTCTCCAGAACCACTGCGACGGCACCTGGGCTCGGCCATCGCGCCCCCGTCGGGGGGACCTTGAAGGGAAGGGGCCCAAAGACACACAAATAAATACACACTAATCCTGAGATTTCCTATATTTTCTGGGTTTTCGTCTTCCCCCAACTTCCCATATTTTCCTATATTTTCCTGAGAGTCGACGATTCACTGTGTCTGTGTGTTATTGCTCTCCTCCTGGATAAAGGAAAGACAGGGGCAGAGGCGGGGGCAGGAGAACATCATCGTATACGGCCCCAGGGAAAAGGAAAAGTGCGCCTCCAACCAGGACCTCTTCCTAACCCCACCTCGGAATACCCCCCCCCCTCACCGCATGGACTTGCAAGACGGCCCTCCCTGATCGCCCGCGCGCTGGTCATCTCTGCGACCAGGGCCGCGGGGAAACGCGGCGGCGACTGCAATGCCAGCGACGTGCGGAATGGCGCAAGGACCCTTTGACCAAGCAGTTCCGCATACTAGAGCAGCAGTGCCCCGCATTTCAAAATAGAAAGGCAGGCGAATCTCACTCCGACAACGAGGACGCACCCCCGACCCTGAGCTCCCGGCCCAGCACATGGGCAACCCGGCGGGGTACACGAAGGGCGAATGTTCCACCACCACCACCACCACTACCATATGCAGGACGGGGGAAATGAAGGATGGGGAGGTCCTCCTCCTCCTCCTTTTCCTGCTCCTCCTCCTGGTCCTCCCCCTCCTCCTCCTCCTCCTCCTTTTCCTCCTCCTCCTCCTCCTCCTCCTCCTCCTCCTCCTCCTACCTATGGGAAAGGTGGCCATCAGTCCAAGGCGGATCCGAGCCACCCGCGAAGCCCCCAACCCCTCGCGAGAGGCCTGGCGGCCTCAGGGCCCCCCCGAGCGGCTGAGGCGGCGGCAGGGCGGTCTCGTGGGGCCCGTCGCACTTGTCGCAGCACAGCTCGGCGGCCTCGGCAGCAGCTCTTCTCTGGGGAGACGGGGTGGAAGGCACACCGTCGCCCTGACGAGGAGGGAGAGGAGGAGGAGGAGAAGGAGGAGGAGGAGGAGGAGGAGGAGGCTCACTGCTTCTTCTGGTTTCTTGCACTTGCCATTCTGCACGCGCCGCCAGCTGAATGCGTGTCGGGCGCCGCTAGGTCGGACCCTCGTGTTTTGTTTAACCACCAGAGTACAACGCTCCAGCTCCGCTGCTCAAGTTAACCCAGCGCCCCCATCAAAACAACTTTTCATGACAGGGGAGGGCGGCGGGCCTATGGCGGGACAAAAAAACGGGAAAGGAAAAACGACGGGGGCCCAACGAAAAACAAACGGAGGAACCATTGCACAGCCAAGCGCATCACATCGCACCACCACGCACTCTCTCTCTCTCTCTATCACTCACATACACACGTACACGCAATCGACATCATCATCTCGAACTCATCATCATCATCATCATCGTCATCATCATCATCATCATCATCATCATCATCATCATCATCATCATCATCATCATCATCATCAATATTACATACACCCTCTCCACAATCGCGCACCCAAATCACACGAACACGCATACACACGCTGTGTGGCACGCGCGGCCTCGCGCGCAAAGACGAGCCGGACAACCCGACACGAACAACTCGAGAACGCGTGCGGCTGGCCCCCCCGGAGTATGGGGCCGGAGCCCAAGCAGGATCGACCATGCCATGCGCACGCACGTGTGAGCAGCCAACGAAGGATGCGGGACACGCACATGCATTCGGACAACGAGGGCCTGAGCAGCTGAGCTCAGCAGGGCAGCTCAGCGCAGCGGCGGGCGGGGCCGACCACCGCCAGAACCAGTGCACATCGTCGTTTATATTCCCAGCTGGTCGACCCAACATCATTGATACATCAACGATACGACACAATCGAACCACCACCGTTGCCGATGGGAGGGCGTTGTGCGCCGGGTGTGGGAAACAGGGCATGAACGACCATGCACCGATTACTCGCGGAGGCGGAAAAACAGAGAACCTCCATGAGCGGGCGCAGGGTAGCACCGACCCACGGGTGGACGAACCGGGAGCGCAGGAGGAAGGGAACGAGCACACAGGAACACACACGCGCACCAACATGCCACACGCGCACACACGCACGCACACACACACACACACACACACACACACACACGCACGCACACGCACACGCACACGCACACGCACACGCACACGCACACGCACACGCACACGCACACGTGCACACACACACACACACACACTCTCTCACACACACACGCAAGCAAACGCACGCACGCACGTACGAACGTACATACGCACGCACGCACGCACGCACGCACACTCGCGCGCTCGCACAAACGCGCACACACGCGCGCACGCACGCGCTCGCACACAATAGTTTTCCTCAAGCGGCCAGGCGACAGCAGAACAGCGAGCGCTAACTCGGGGCGCGATGAGCTCAATAACCACCTGGACGGGAGGTCTGGATAAAAGCACGCGCGCGCACGACAACATTGCGTTATGGAACGGACAGAAATCTCGCCAACTGAACAGCTGGATACCACTGCGGGGTGAAAGCCTGCAAGGGCGGCGGCTTCGTTGGCGCGAGTTTCGCGGGCGTGGCCCCCGTAAGAACGGCGCGCTGTCCTGCGGGAAAGTCCGCGTCAGCGCCCGCGATGCCGGCCTTGTGCGTTCGCCGGACCTGCGCTGGCGATGGGCCATCGTCTGCCCGTTTTTCCCTGGCAGATCAAAATCAACGTCTTGTGGAAAACGCCCGGAGAGGGGTTCAGCAAGCACCTCACCATGCAATTCGTCAGCCAGCGGCGGCATGCATGCAATGCGGACAGCACCGTCGCTCCAGCGCACTTGCGCTAGCCTGCCAGACTTACCTCGCCGCCCGTATGAACCAAGCCGATTTCGAGCATCGAGCACGGAAGTGGCCACTCGCCCATGGCAATTGGGGGCGACATGACCGGCGCGCCTCCGTGACAACCAAGTGCGGCCTTCGATTGGGGACCCCAGCGCGCCTGCATGAACACCATGGCGCTCCGAGCCGGCTTGAGCCAAGGTGCTTAAACACCTGGATGCTACGCAAAGCCCCCGCCAGTGATCAGTATGGAAGGCGACGCGTGAGACCGAGAACGCACGACGAGCCCAGGCCCCATGTGCACCCCTTTGCGGTGTAAATGTGCCACACCTGCCACGCACGGCGACTCTGAGACGGATAGAGACCACGGTGAGGGACCACCCCCTTCGCACCCCCTGCGAAGTGGAGAAAGTGCCACGCCTGCCACGCCCCGCGACCCTGAGACGGAGAGGAACACGGTGAGGGACCACCCACTGCGCGTCCTCTGCGGCGCGGAGAAAGTGCCACGCCTGCGACGCCCCGCGACCCTCAGACGGATAGAGACCGCGTCGAGGAACCAGCCCCTGCGCAGCCCCACTTGCTTGGAGAAAATGCCACGCCTGACAAACCGCGCGACCCTGAGAGGATACAAACCGCGGTGATGGACCACTTTTTGCGCACCCCCATCGGCGCGGAGGGAGTGCCACGCCTGCCACGCCCCGCAACCCTAAGACGAAAATCCGCCGACCCTGTCGGCGTGTGGAAGAGGCTATTCCGTTTGACTCGTCCTCGTCGTCGTCGTGGTCGTTGTTGTCGTCGTCGTCGTCGTCGTCGCTGTCGCCGTCGCCGGTCCCCTCCCTTTCCCTGAGCCTGGCGCCGCTGCCTCCACTTTCACCGGGCCCTCCTCCTCGAGCGCGCAAGCCACAGCGAAATTGAGAAGCGCTGTAGTTGAGTCGGGAAGCCCCTTCCCTTTGATCCCTTCCCCGCCGGGGGGGTGGGTCTCGGGGGGGGTCCAGGGGGGGTCCCAAGGGGGGCCCCGGGGGGGGTCCCGCGGGGAGTCCTGGGGCAGGTCCTGGCGGGGGTCCCGGCTCAGACACGACTCCCCTCCGGGCGGTTCGAGAGCCGAGACAATCCCCAAGACGTAGCAAAAGTGTCCCGAGAGGCCCCCAAGAATGTCCTCGAGGGACCCGAATCGCCGAAGTATCGGTCCAAGTCGCGATAGCCTCCAGACAGCTTCGGAATTTCCACTCCAAGGGCACTCCCAAGAGGGGCCCCAAGGAGTAAAGATCATAGATTTCCCTTGAGTTTTTGAAAAATTTCGGCATTCTCGCCTTGTCAGCTTCCCGACGCTCCAAGACAGGCCAAGAAGCCCCCAAGACCGCCCCAATATCGCCGAAGAGGCCTCCAAGAGAGCCCCAAAACGACCCAAGAGGGCCCCAAGACCGACCAAGAGGCCTCCAAGACAGCCGAAGAGGCCCCCAAGACGGCTCCAAGGAAGAGCCCAGACGGGGGACCCGAACGGACATTTCGAGCCATCGGCCTGAGAAGCTCTCAGGAGGCCCCCAGAGGTCCCTAAGAAGCCCCGCAAGAAGCCCCAAGAAGCTCCCAAGAGACCCCCAGAGACTCCAAGAGGCCCCCACGAGGCTTCCAAGCGGCCCCCCAGAGCTTCCCAAGAGGCCCCAAAACTCCCCCGAAGAGGCCCCCGAGAGCGCTCATCGTCGTCGTCGTCGCCATTCAGGGTCGGCGGCACTGGCCGTAAGGCCTTCGCAATAGAAACCGTGGTGTGGAACCACCCCCTGCGAAACCCCGCCAATGTGGAGAAAATGCCACGCCGGCATCGCCCCGCAACCCTGAGACGGAAATCGAAACCGCGGTGAGGGACCATCCCGTGCGCACCCCATGCGTCGTGGAGAAAGGCCTCGCCAGCCACACCGTGCGATCCTGAGACGGATAGAGACCACGGTGAGGGACAACCCCCTTCGCGACCCCTGCGGTGGGGAGAAAATGCCACGCCTGCCACGCCCTACGACCCTCAGACGGAAATGGAGCCCGTGGTGAGGGACCCCCCCCTGCGCATCCCCTGTTGCGTGAAGAAAAGTGCCACGCCTGCTGGGCCATGCGACTCTGAGACGGATATAGGGACCGCAGTTAGGAACAACCCCTTGCGCACCCCGTGAAATGTGGAGAAGCCGCCATCCCTACCACGCTCCGCGACCCTGAGGCGGACATGTATAGAGACCACTGTGAGGGGCCGCCCCCTGCGCACCCCGTACGGTGCCAAGACGAGTGCCACACATGCCACGTCCTGCAAATCCTACGCGTATGTGTTATGTGCTTCACGTGTCATGCGAGTGACGAAGTCTGCGTCTGCGTGTCTTCTGCATGTGTATGATGAGTGTGCGGCCATATGTGGATGTGTATATATGTGTCATGTCTATGGCTCGGTCAATGTCTGTGTGCCGTGCGTATGTGCATGATGTGTGTGCGGGTTTACCTGGACGTGCGTCGCATGCAGATGCCGTGCATATGTGTTGCATACGAACGGTACGGATGTGCAACGAAAACCGCTAGGTATACGTTACCGTTGTATTGTGTGTGTGCGTGGCTAGTGCTTGTGAAAACATCTATAATGTGTGCCCGTGTCTGTTATGAATGTGTGCAAGTGTCTGGTGAGGATACGAGCGAGAAAGACGAGGAGGAGGAGCAGGAGGAAGAGGAGGGGTCAGAATGGAGTCACTGGTGCGACACGGGTGGGATGAAAATCATAACCACAAACAAGACCGCGGCTGCACGTGGAAAACTAACAAGACCGCGGCTGCATGTGGGGAACAAACAAGACCGCGGCTGCACGTGGAAAACTACGGAGATTCGGCAACGCAGGTGCCGAAGCGTACAACATACAACTGGCACAGAACGCAGGAGGAGTAGAATATGCGCGAAACATTCTCGTCCGCAGCCGACTTCAGGGCTCAACACGGAGGCGGCCAGTGCAGCATGACCGCAGGCCCTTTAAAACGCACGCACACACACAAACACACACGCGCACACACGCACTCACACACACGCGCACACACGCACTCACACACGCACACACACACACACACACGCAAACACGCACTCACAAACACACACGAACACACACGCACTCACGCACAAGCGCATACACTTACACATACATACATAAACACACACACACACACACACACTTCCTGCCCAGATCCTGAGGATGTCTCCCCGTGGGGCCTCGTCCGTGCGAGATCTGCAAGGAAGGCATCCAGCGGGCCTCCCCCTTCCTTTGGGGCCCCCACTGCCCCTTCCTACTCCGAAGCGGCCGCCCCCACACTGCACCAGGCACAGAACTTGAGCACCCCAGGAAGGCAAAGGGTGAACGAGTCTCGACCGGGGGCCTCGTCTGTGGGCAAATTGCCAGGCACTCTTGAACTGGACCCCCCCTGCCATGGGGGCACGACCCGACTTCATGTTAGCAATGCGAACCGGCCATCGCAATGCTGTACCAGGCATCGCACATGAGCACTCCACGGCGGCAAGGTGCAAGCATGTCTCAAGCGGGGGACTCGTCTGTGAGTGGATTGTGAGAGCGCCACTTCCTTCAGAAACACCATCATGATTGCCACTCAAGTCAAATACCCACAGACTGCCAAACAGTAACCATCAACAAAACGGATTCGACGCAAGTCAGACCGAACCAATGAATCTGTTTTGCCAATCCAGCCGCGAGAAATGCGCCTTGCTTTCCCATCCCGCCGTGTGGTGTACGTGTGCATGCGTGCAGTGCGCTCTCCCCCGCATGCACAGGAAGGGCGCTGGGCAACGTCCTTCCGGCGAATGACTCGGCGCTAGACATGCGCCTTTGGGGTCGCATTGGCCTGTGAGAACGTGGACACACAATGCACCGACACGTCTTCGGCAAACATCAGGTCCACGCGACGATCCTCTCCATCTCTGTCCGACTGTGAAACACCGAACGCGGGAGTGAGCGCCACGTACAGGCCTCCGACGAACCCGCGTCCTGAACTCGGAAAAGAAGAAGGAGAGGAAGCATGAGGGAGGAAGAGGAGGGGAAGGACGACAGGGAGGCGAGGAGGAGGAAGGAAGGCGAGGAGAAGGAGGACGAGGAGGAGGACGAGGAGGAGGACGAGGAGGAGGAGGACGAGGAGGTGCTGGAGGGTTCTGCCAGGGGCTGCCCTGGCCGAAGGTGTCCCCCAGGACGTCCAGGTAGGCCGCACGGCCTCCCGGGACGCTCCTCGCGAGGCCCGGGAAGACCCCAGGGGATCCCCAGCGGGTTCCCCAAATGGGGGGCCTGCCATCGCTCGGACATCCATTCCCTGTGTTTTCTTTCGGTGTCGTGCGTGTTTTTTTCGCCAAATGATCAAGGATGCTCCTCGATGGTCCTCGCCGAAGGAAAAATGCACACGTCCGAGCGCGATGCCAAGGGGGCGAACAGCTGTGGTTGCCCTGGGCTGGGAGCGTCTTCGGCAATCCTATCGTTTGCACGTGGCGAAGGACAAGCCTTCCGATTCTTGGGAGCTCGACGTCTTTTCCCGCGCGCGCTTGCGCACGCCGCTGCGGCCCTCTTTGTCTGGTGCGACCGCCGCCCACGGACGCGAGCACATGCACTGGGCTGACTGGATGGAGCGAGAAAAGCCACACACACACACACACACACATGTGACACGCTGCTCACACACAAACACACACACACCCACTCATATGCGTGTATGTATGTATATATGTATATATATATATATACATCTATATATAGGCATCGAGGCCAAGCACGCGGCGGCGCGGCGTAGACAGTCGAGGTGAGCGAACGCGCGGCTGGGCCACACACACACACACGCGAGCACGCAGCGTGCGCCTACGCACCACCACCGTGCCTGGCCAGTGCATGTGCCAGCCCCGGCATGACGCACGCGGCCCCTCTGGCCGAGGCCTGCAGGATCGGTACACCGTTCTGGAGTCCACGGTGGCCCTGCCCAGACATGGTGGTGGGGGGCGCCAGATGGGGCCAGGTGCTCCCTGCGGAGCACACATGCCCTCCCCTCTCCCGCTCCAGGTCTCTCGCTCCCGTGGGCCGCAGGGCGTCACAGGCGGCCCTGCTGAGCGCGGCGTCCTGCAAGCCCGATCAGCGCAGCTCCTCCGTGATCTGCACCCCGGTAGCCTGGGCGGCCGCGGGCGCCCCCGCCAGGCCCGCCGCCGGTGGAGCGGGCAGCAACGCCAGGCGCAGCTCCGTCAGCTGACCCTCGGTCATCGCAAGTCGGCGCTCGAGAAGCTGAATCGTCTTGGCCATGATCTCCATGTGGTCGTGCATCGACTGCAGCGTCCCTGCCAGGGCCTCCGGGAGCTCCTGCATGGGCAGCGACACCGGCGGGGCGCAGCCGGGCGCCCCGTGCTCTGCGCCGGTCGCTGCGACGTCCTGCGGCGCCCCGGGACCTGCCTCTGCAGGGCCGCGGTGCTGCGGTGGTGCCTCCGCCGCGCCAGCCAGCCACGTCGGGCGCTCTGCCCGGAAGGGGTTCGGCCAGCACGTCACCGGGCCGTCCGCCTCCGGCGGGCGACCCGCGACCGCGCCGCCGCGCCAGGCGGCCGGCGGGCGGCGCCCGGACGTGGGCGCGCTGGTGGCCCGCTGCTGCCGGGGCTGGCGCTGCGCGCCGCCGCCCGCCGCTGGCTGCGGCGCGGCAGGGGCGCCGGGCGATCCCGAGGCCCCACAGGGTCTGTCCTCGTCGCCGGCGCCGACGCAGCTCCAGGCGAGCACGAGGCCGCCGGCGCCACCCGAGACCAGCCCCCCGCCAGAGGGGGCGAAGGCGCAGGAGGTCGGGGTGTCCTGATGCCCTGGGGCGTCGAAGAGCAGTCGCCCTTCCCGGAGGTCCCACACCTTCAGGGCCAGGTCCTCGCCGGTGGAGCACATGTAGTCCCCGCCCGGGTAGAAGTCGATGCACGTCGCAGCGCCCTTGTGGGCGCCGTAGTGCTGGAGCAGCCGGCGGGACCGCAGGTCCCAGAGTTTGATGCTGCCGTCGCGGCCACAGGCCGCCAGGCACGAGCCGTCGGGGTGGAATCGCACCTTGGATACGGGCTGGTCGAAGTCGTGCAGGTCGACGACAAGCGCCCGCTTCTCGACGTCCCAGACACGCACGACTTTGTCCTCCCCCCCGGAGGCCGCCAGGTCCGCGTTCCCGCAGAAGGCTGCGGAGTAGACCCAGTGCGTGTGGCCCGTGAAGGACCCGCGGAACTTGTGGCTGCCGACGCACCACATCTTCACCGTCTTGTCGTCGGAGGCGGTGAGGAGCAGGCTGTCGTCCCGCGAGAAGCACACGCTGCGCACGGGCGCCGTGTGCACCTTCAGCGCCCGCGACTCCCCCTGCGGCGTGTTGCCCCACAGCCGCACCGTGCGGTCCGCTGACGCCGAGGCCAGCAGGCGCCCAGAGCTGCTGGCCGCGACGTCGTAGACCTCCCCCTTTGGACGCAGAAGGCGCCGAGATGCCACCAGCGTGCCTGACCAGGGCCAGGCTTGGCCCTGGCATGGTGTATACGCCCACCTGGCCGAAGCCACAAGGGTCTCTATACGCCATCCTGGGGCACAGGAGGGCCCTGGCCAGGCACGGAACGGGTACACGGTCGCCTCCTGCGGACCTTGTGGCCCACGAACCGGTAGGGCCGGAGCTGCGGCTTAAAGTGCCAAACGAACACGCACCCGTCCAGGGAGCTTGAGACGACCTGCTCCTCTAGAGGCCTCCCAGATAGGGTCCGAGTAGATGGAGTCGGAGGATCGCCACGCATCGCCGAGGCATCGCCAATCCATCAGCGACGTTGGTGATGAATCAGCGCCATCGGCGTGGAGAAGGTCGGGCTCCATCTAGAGCTCCACAAACAGAATAACGAAACTCAGCATAAACATAACTGTCGGAGCTCCACGCGGATCTCTTGGATCAGCGCTGGGCCCCCTTGGCGGCGCCTCCTGCGCTGCTCCAGGCGCGCCCCGCGCGCCAAGGATGGGGGCCCAGCACCGATCCAAGAATCCGCGCGGAGCCCCGAAAGCTTATGCTGCTTCTCTTGCTCCTCGAACCGATGCATCGGCGATGCGGCGCGATCATCCGACCCGATCTGCCCGGACTCCACCTGAGCGACGAAGACAAATGGGTGCTACGCGAGATGGAACACCGACCTCACGCAGTGGCTTACGCGGGCCGCCGGCGCGGCACGCGGGAGACAAGGGCGCTTCCGCGCGACCTCACGCGGGCAGCATGCGCGCCAATGTCGGCGCAATTCGCCCCGTTTCTCCGGCGGCGCTCCCTTGGGAGTCCCTGGTTAGGAGGCCACATGCGAACCCTCCCCCTGAGAAATCGTGGGGGGCAGGGGCAGTGTTCGCATGTGGCCTCCTACTGGTCCTCACCGGGCAGCACCACCGCGGAGGTCACCGTGCCCCGGTGACCGCGGAAGGCCCGCTCCAGCTGCGGCCTGCGGGGCCCCGGCACCGCTGCGCTGCGCAGGGGCTGGTCGGCCACCATGCGGGGCCCTGCCCTCGGGGAGCTCGCGCGCCGCACTCCTGCAGAGCGGGGGCGGCGAGGGGGGGCGAAGGGCCCAGGGGAGGGGGTCCGTGCATCCAAGGGGCCGACGATTTGGACGCCCGAAATGGGTACGGAAAGAATGGGTATAATGCCCAACAACAAATGTTGTCCCAAACCAACAGCGGCCGCTGTTGGGCAAGCGGCCTTCTGTCTCAAATGGACACAGGCCGCGGCGGCGCGGACAGCGAGTCCTGTTCAAAATGGACAGGAACTGCTGTTGGGCATTGTACCCATTCTTTCCGTACCCATCCCGTTCGTGCCGAGACAATCCGTGCCTTCGGCGAGGCTCCCCCGGCGAGTGCGTGCAGTGCCCGCCCCTGGGCTGCTCGCCCCGGTCGCCGCCTCCGAGCAGAGTGCCCCCCCGCGCGCGGCTCTCCGGGGCGCGGCCTGCGCGCGGGCCGGGCGGGGCTCGGCGGCTCCAGCGGAGGGGGGCCCCCTGGAGCCACACGCGCGGCGGTCGAGGAGGAGGAGGAGGAGGAGGAGGAGGAGGAGGAGGAGGAGGAGGAGGAGGAGGAGGAGGAGGAGGAGGAGGAGGAGGAGGAGGAGGGAGGAGGGGACGAGGAGGAGGAGGAGCAGGAGGAGGAAGGAGGGAAGAGGAGGAGGAGGAGGAGGAGGAGGAGGCTCCTGGCTTCGAGGAGGCACGCGGGCGAGGCGGACGGCCAGGTGGGCGGACAGACTGTTCTACAGCTGGGGCCCGACCGCAAGCAGCCTTCCACGAGAAGCCCAACCCTGAGACCCCAGGACGTCCACTGACTTCCGTCTCGTGTGGGGACGTCACGCTCCCCATCGCAGAGCCATCGGAACCGAAGAAACCTAGGGCACCCTGGTGGAGGCAAGCAGGGTGCTTCTTGGCATGGGTCTCCACTGTAGCCAGCGGCCGCGAGAGGGTCCGACGGCGGTCAAGCGGCGGCGGGGCGCGCCAGACCACAGCGAGGCACCGGGAGGAGGAAGCACTCGCGAGCCAGGGAGGGCCGGAGGGGCCGAAAGGGCGGGGAGGGGCAGGCGGGCCGGCAAGCAGACGAGAGCCATGGTGATTCGCTGACGCAGGATCGTCCATGGAAGAGACGTGCGCCGCCCCCCTGCGAACCCCTCCCCTGGGCGGTCACATCCCGCAGCTTCTGGGAGGGGGCGATGACGCGGCGCGGCTGCGGCGGGCCTGGAGGGGGCCGGAAGCCTGGGGCTCTGGGCGGAAGCCCTGGGCATGTCAAGGCGGCTGTCAAGACGGGCCCCTGACGCAGAGCAGCCCCAAGACGGGTCCAACACGGCCCTGAGGTGGCCCTAACGGCCCCGAGACCCCCTGGCGGGGGAAGCAAGCATACCTGCACTGCCACTCCCAGGACCTCTCCCGGGGTGCAGCGTTACCAGAATCTCGAGGCGAATCCAGCCATGGCGGCGAGAGCCTTCCAGGAGGCCCAGAAAAGGCGAAAACGAGGCGAGTGTAGCAAGATGCTGCCTCCTCCTCTGGCCTGCTCTGGGAGGCGAGCCACCTCCGCAGAGGAGGCCCCCGCCCACGGGAGGCCCCCACCTGCTCCGGCCCTCCGGCCCTGCCGCGGGACGCCGCACTTCCCGCGTGCCTCCGGGGACCTGCGCCGCCAGCCCCAGCAGAACCCAGGGGGGGAAACGATCGGGGGGGGCACCGGCTCAGAGGGCAAACATCGAGCAGGAATCGACGATACATTGCCGACACGTCGGCGATAGGACCCCGGCAGCGACACCGCCAACTCGGCGGCGTGGCCTATCGGCCCCCATCGGCGATGAGTGTACGATTGGAGGTCGATGTGTCCCTCCCTGAGCCTGAATTTATAGGGTGCTTGAAGGACTTTCCACCTCCACCACCCAAAGTCATGCATGCTTCAAGGGTGCTGCACCTCTGAGCCCCCAGTGTTCAAAGGAGTCTGCCTCCTCCTCCTCCTCGTCGTCCTCCTCCTCCTCCTCCTCCTCCCCCCCCAACTCCCTCCTGCCAAGATCTGCCGCCAGACAAGGCCAGTCCGCCCGAACCGACCGCCCGAGCGAGGTTCTGCTCGACCCAGCCCGATCGCCTAGGCCTGGGTGTTGGTCAGCCCGACAGCCCGAGCCGGTCATCCGAGTCAGTCCCCCCGCGGGCTCCTCTGTCCAAGTCTGCCCGCCCCCACAAAGAGAAGTATGGGATCCCCCCGAGGATCGAGGGCGGGACGAGAATACAACTCGAAAGGGGCAGGGGTCGAAAGGTGGGGACACACAAGAGAAATGACGCGCGAGCAGACGAGAACGAACGGTCTGAGAGCGACTCGTGCCATTCCTGTCATCGTCGGCCCACGACCGCCCGCAACCCGTGCCCCGCAACCCACCCGCCAGCCACCCAACGTCCCACCTGCAATCCGCCCCACGATTCACCCGCGACTCACCGCGACCCGCACTGCGCCCCGCCCACTGGCCGATCGCCGACGCTGCCGACCCACCCGCGACCCACCAGCAGTGTTGTGTGAAGCACATCGGCGTCCGCGGCGAGCTGACAAGCATTATCTTCAGACAAAGCCCGTGTTCAGATTCGTCCGTCTGTGGCCCTACCCTGGTAAGAGGGCCCAGGTGTCGCTTCGCTCGTATGCGCAACTGACTGGCTCAGGTACGATTAAATGCTCAAGTAGTCTCGAGGACGCCGCACTGCTAAGCGCCTTCAAAATGCGGTCAATGCTGAAACCCAAGCTGATACGTGCACCGTATGCGCGAAAGACCAGACCAACACATTGCCAAACTTAAGCATCCAACTACCCGTCACCGTTGGGAGACCCCATACCCAAAACACAATGGCTCACGACCGTCCCTAACTGATCCACCATGCACCTCGTATGGTCGGCATCACACTCCCACCAATATGGGCGAATATCTATAAACTGCGAGCCCATGTCTCGGCAACTTCAGAACTGACTGCACGCCCGAACAATCATGTAATACGTGATATTATGTGACCCACCCACGGCACCTCGTACCTACGAATTGGAGACTGCACCATGAACTGTCTTCCGAACACGGAATACCAGGGTTACGATCTACTGCAACAAGGACTGGGCAAGGCAACAGGGCAGATGTGTGCTCCAAACGCCACAGAAATAAGAACGACCCTGTACGTCTTGAAGGGGATATACCTTCTATAACCGCAGGAAGCCTTCATTAGTCGTCGTGGATTTACTGAAGGAACTGCCTGCCACCGCTTCTAGCACATCGACATGTGGCTATAGCTCCGTTATCACCAACATCGGACGTTGGGGGAATGAGATCTGCTCCAGAAAATCAGTTTCGGTTTCGTGTTCGTGTAGTGCGTGCGGGCGAGGCGAAGCTGCGTGCGCGTGCTACGGCAAAAGACTCTCCTCATCTGGTTGGCAGTCGGTGTCCCGCGGTTGTCCCGCGGCTGTTGTCCCGATGGTTTTCGCTAATTATGGTTGTCTCGACCGTTGCCCCGATCGTTGTCCCAGTGGATGTCACGATTGCCCCGTCGGTTGTGCCGATGTTTGCCACAGTGGGTGTCCAGATGGATGTCCTGGTGGCTGTCCCGATGGTTGTCCCGAAGGCTGTCCCTATGGCTGTCCCGATGGCTGTTCCGGCGGTTCTTCCGGCGGTTCTCCCGATGGTTGTGCCGACGGGGTAGGCCAGCGGTTGTCCCGATCGTTGTCCCCATGGTTATCCCGAGGGTTGCCCCGATGGTTGTCCCGATGATTGTCCCCGTGGTTGTCCCGATGGTGGATTGATTGATGATGGATAGTGGGTTCGCTCCAGTCCTCGTCGCCCATCCGCAGACTGCACATGGGGAGGAGGAGGAGGAGGAGGAGGAGGAGGAGGAGGAGGAGGAGGACAAGGAGGATGAGGAGGACGAGGAGGAGGAGGAGGATGACAACTTTCCAGAGATCGAGGCGGATTGCTTGGATCGGCGCTGGACCCCCTCCCCCCGGCGCGCGGAGCGTGCCAAAGAAGTCGCCGCCAGAGGGGTCTAGCGCCCGTCCACGGAACGTGCGCAGACCTCCGCATGCTTACGCTTACGTGGTGCTGATCTTTGGCGATTGCATCACTCGATCGCTGCCCACCTCCCACCCCGCGCGCGCCTCGTCCACGTCCTTCTGGCTAGGAGCGGCCGCCCTTACATGTGCACCGGGCGAGAGCAGCTATGGGGTGGGGCAGACGCATACGCGCGGTGGAATTGCGAGAATGATGATCGGACGCATCGAGGAACGTGTGCAAGTGATAGACAAACTGAGCGGGAGAGGAAGATAGACAGATAGGGAAAGAGAGAGTGGACGCAAGTATGTGATAAAGACCCAGGGATCGCCAAACACGTTCGTCTCCTGGGGTTGCGCATGAAAGTGTCTGCGTGCTGGGTGTGCGCTGACCACCCCCATAAGCCTGGGAGGCAATGGCAATGGCCTCTCTCCGGGGGGCACTTTCTTCAACCGCCCTCCTCCAAAGCTTCCCCCTGCTTGAAACAGAAGAGGCGCATGTGCTCCATTCCCGTCCACTCCCGTGGGCCCTCCTTTGGCTTCAGCCGAGAGGATGAAGCCAGCCCCTCGTGACCACCGTAGAGGAGTAACTTTCTAGCGCCTGTCTCTCTCGGAAAAAGCTCCTGGGGCAAAACTTGCATGTAAAGCTACACATTCCTCGACGCGGCGTGACCCTGGCGTGTCCAGCCTTCTCGTCTCCTGCTCCAAGGCGCTGCTTGCGAGTCCCTATCGTATATCATTGAGACCTCCTCCACGCCTCTTCCACCTTCTCCATCGCATCCGCAAGCTCCTCTTCATCACCATGCACCTCCTCCCTCTGATATTCCTCCCCATCATAATCAGCAGCAACATCATCATCAGCATCGTCATCATCAGCAACATCAGTATCATCGTTGTCGTCCTCAGCATCAAGATCATCATCATCATCATCATCATCCTCATCATCACCAGCACCATCAGCAACGTCCTCGTCGTCATCATCATCATCATCATCATCATCAGCATCATCATCATTTTCATCATCATCATCATCAGCAGCATCATCAGTATCATTAGTAGCATGAGCATCATCATCCCCACCCCAGGAGGCCTCATCGACGACACGCCCCTCCTCATCGAGGAGAAGGGTGTGCACGCCGGCTTGTCTATCGGCTGTCTGCAGGACGGGGTGCTCGACGGAGTGGCCTGTCCCCATCCATGGGGGAGCTACTCAGGCTCTTCATCCTCCTCCTTCTCCTCCTTCTTTACCCTGCTCCTCGTCACCCTCCAAATCCCCTGCGTCTTCCTCATGCCCTTCTCCTCCTCCTTTTCCTGTCCTCCTCATTTCCTCCTCCAGTCCTGCTCCTGTCCTGTTCCTCCTGGGAATCTTCCTCATCCCCCCAGTTGCCATTTTTGCGCTCGCAGCGCCCTGCGGACGCCCTCTAGAAGACGGGCTTCCAACGCAGGCTGCAAACTGCATGGAGGACCTCAGAACTGGGAGCGAGGCGCGCTCTCGGCCACTCTTGTATCCAGATTAGGTGGCGAGGAGCGGAGGAGGGCCACTTGAGACAACGGCGGCTTTCCCGCCAGATTCACCACCCTAGATGGACATGCACACTGTTCTTTTCGGGTTTCGCGGGGCCTCATCCCCTCCTGGAAGGGGGGGGCTGGGGGGTCAGAGCAGTGGTCCAGCGGGAATGGGGATGGGTTAAGAGATGCTGAACTGGGCAAACCACAAGGTACCGATATCTTCATACCCCGGACCTCTGCCGGGGTCCGTTCTGACCAGGATTTCGAAGCGAATCCGGCGGTGGCGACGACGGCCTCCCAGCAGGCAAAATCAGCCTGGCGGAGGACCCCACCATATGCAGATGTGAGTACCGCAGTTGAAGGTTTCGTCTTCAGTGGAGCTCCTCATGGGGCCAAGATTCGCTTTAATGGGTGGGGGAGGCGCATGCGAAATTGCCACTGGTGCCTCCTGTGGAGCCCATTGGTCACCAAACGCTGTACTGGGAGGGGGACACGAATGCGAGTGAAGCCACTAGGGCCTTCGGTAGAGCTCCCCATGGAGCCCCGAAGCGCTGTATTGGACGGGGGTGGCGCATGCGAGTGCAGCCACTGGGGCCTTCGGTGCATTTACATTTGGGGCCACGGAACGCTGTTCTGGGCGGGGGAGACGCATGCGAGTGCAGCCTCTGGGGCCTTCGGTGGGGCTCCCTGTGGGGTCGCGAAACGCTGTGCTGGGTGGGCGAGACGCGTGCGAGTGCAGGCACTGGGGCCTCCTGCGGAGCTCCCTATTGGGTCACGGAGCGCTGTACTGGGGGGAGCTCCCTCTTGGGCGGCGGGAAAATTGTACTGGGCGGGGGAGACGCATCCGAGTGCAGCCACTGGGGCCTCCGGCGGAGATCCCTATTGGGCCACAAAGCGCTGTAATGGGCGAGGGAGACGCATGCGAGTGAAGCCACTGGGCCTTCGGTTGAGCTCCCTCTGGGGCCACGGAGTTCTGTACTGGGCGGGGGAGACGCACGCGAATACAGCCTCTGGGGCCTTCGGCGGAGCTCCCTATGGTGCCACGGAGAGCTGTGCTGGGTGGAGGAGACGCATGCGAGTGCAGCCTCTGGAGCCTTCGGTGGAGTTCCCTGTGGGGCCACGAAACGCTGTACTGGGTGGGGAAGACACATACTGATGAGGAGAGAGGCATGTAAGGGGAGGAGGGAGAAGGAGGAGGGGGAGGAGGGCGGGAGGTGAGAGGACGCAGGGCGCTGTCTCTTCAAAACGAGGACCCAACAGCACAGGATGGTTGAGGGAAACAAGGCACACGAGGAAAGAGTGGCGGCAGCGGTATCGGTACCTTTCCCTCCTCTGCTGACCCTCATGGACTCTCGGATGCCGAAGAATAGCGACCAACCTCAGGACCCGCAGGGCCGCTTGCCTCCAAGGCGACAGTCGTGGAAAGCTTGATCACCTGGACTCTCCGCATGCAAAGTCCGATCCGCGCGCGACGCCGTGCCGACCGAGCTGTCGGAGCTGCCCCCCCACCCCCCGGCTGCCACTACTGATGGGCCTGTTTTCCACCACCACCACCACCATAAGTTGGACGGGGGGGTCCTCCTCCCTCTCTACTTCTTCCTCCTCCTCCTCCTCCTCCTCCTCCTCCTCCTCCTCGATCGCCTTCCCCATGCAACTTATGGTGGTGGTGGCGGGAAACGGGCTCAGCCACTGGGGCCATCGGTGCAGCCACTGGGGCCTTCGGTGCATTTACATTTGGGGCCACGGAACGCTGTTCTGGGCGGGGGAGACGCATGCGAGTGCAGCCTCTGGGGCCTTCGGTGGGGCTCCCTGTGGGGTCGCGAAACGCTGTGCTGGGTGGGCGAGACGCGTGCGAGTGCAGGCACTGGGGCCTCCTGCGGAGCTCCCTATTGGGTCACGGAGCGCTGTACTGGGGGGAGCTCCCTCTTGGGCGGCGGGAAAATTGTACTGGGCGGGGGAGACGCATCCGAGTGCAGCCACTGGGGCCTCCGGCGGAGATCCCTATTGGGCCACAAAGCGCTGTAATGGGCGAGGGAGACGCATGCGAGTGAAGCCACTGGGCCTTCGGTTGAGCGAGCTCCCTCTGGGGCCACGGAGTTCTGTACTGGGCGGGGGAGACGCACGCGAATACAGCCTCTGGGGCCTTCGGCGGAGCTCCCTATGGTGCCACGGAGAGCTGTGCTGGGTGGAGGAGACGCATGCGAGTGCAGCCTCTGGAGCCTTCGGTGGAGTTCCCTGTGGGGCCACGAAACGCTGTACTGGGTGGGGAAGACACATACTGATGAGGAGAGAGGCATGTAAGGGGAGGAGGGAGAAGGAGGAGGGGGAGGAGGGCGGGAGGTGAGAGGACGCAGGGCGCTGTCTCTTCAAAACGAGGACCCAACAGCACAGGATGGTTGAGGGAAACAAGGCACACGAGGAAAGAGTGGCGGCAGCGGTATCGGTACCTTTCCCTCCTCTGCTGACCCTCATGGACTCTCGGATGCCGAAGAATAGCGACCAACCTCAGGACCCGCAGGGCCGCTTGCCTCCAAGGCGACAGTCGTGGAAAGCTTGATCACCTGGACTCTCCGCATGCAAAGTCCGATCCGCGCGCGACGCCGTGCCGACCGAGCTGTCGGAGCTGCCCCCCCACCCCCCGGCTGCCACTACTGATGGGCCTGTTTTCCACCACCACCACCACCACCATAAGTTGGACGGGGGGGTCCTCCTCCCCCTCTACTTCTTCCTCCTCCTCCTCCTCCTCCTCCTCCTCCTCCTCCTCCTCCTCCTCCTCCTCTATCGCCTTCCCCCATGCAACTTATGGTGGTGGTGGCGGGAAACGGGCTCAGCCACTGTCCCTCGCGCAAAGCGACGAGTCGGAGGAGGCGCCACAGCGCGCAACAGTTGTGCGAGGCGGCCGGGCCGCACACGCTCTTGGCGTCGGCGGCTGGGCAGAGTGACTGCGCCAGCGGAAACAGGGCATAACGCGGCAAACGGTCTGCGAATTCGGGCCGGACGCACACACACACACACACACACGGGCACACGCACACGCACACGCACACGCACACACGCACACGCACACACGCACACACGCACACACGCACACACGCACACACACGCACACACGCACACGCACACACGCACACACATTCACACACTTCTCGGAGGCAGCGGCCTTGCCAGCGCGCAGCGACGGGGCGGAGAAAGTGCAAACAGTCCGCGCCGTGCGCGCGGCGGCCAGGCCCAACGCGCACGCAAACGCTCAGTCGCAGCGGGCCAGCGCGTCGGGCGACCCCCTCACATGGCGCGCAGGATGTCGGAGAGAGAACAAGGGAACAGCGGTAGGGAAACGGACAACGGCCGGCTATGCGGCGGACAGCACGGCGTAGCACGCCCCGCGCACCCCTACACACATCCACACACATCCACACACACACACACACTTCGCTTCGTCGGCGGCTGGGCCGCGCCACTGCGCTGGCGATAGGGCGTTGACAGGTCACACGAAACGCGAATGAAGCCACCATGCAGGAGGAGGGAGGAGGCGCCCGGCGGCGGCGGGAGGGAGGAGAAAGCGGGGCCCGCCCGTACACACACACACATGCCGCAATCCCTTCGGAAGGACTGCACAAAGTCTCCTCACTTCGCGCTGCGCGAAGCGCGGAGAACTTCGCGCTCTCGCGCCGCCCCCCAGGGGAGAAGAGGAGGATGAGGAATCGGAGCCGAACCGCGACGCGCAAAGCGCGATTAACTTCGCGCTTTGGAGGGCGCCCTTGACAAAAACACACACACACACCACACACACACACACATATATATATATATATATATATATATACCACACACACGCGCACGCACACGCAAACACACACACACACATACACACACACACGCGCACACACGCACACACGCACACACACACACACACACACGCGCGCACACGCTCACACGCGCACACACGCACACACGCACACACGCACACACACAACACACACACACACGCACCAGGCGTAATCCCTTCGTGGACTGCATGATCCCCTGGACTCACAGCCCGCAGCCCGATCCTGTAGCCCCGCCGTGCCGACCATTCTGCTCCCGCGCATGTGCCCTAGCCCCTTCGTGGACTGGTTGACCCCCCCGGACCTGGATGCGGCCTGGGGTCTGAACTACAGTCAACTAGTAGACTAAGGACGCGCGATAAGAATGCAAGGGCCTGGGAAGGCCATGTAGACACTTTGCGAGCGGGGCGCGGCCAGCAAAAGCGGTCAAGGGTGGGCCGAAGGGGAGGGATGCAAGCGTAGCCTTGGAGAATGACTCATCCTTACTATGCGGGTTGACCGTAGATGCGCCCCGAGAAAGAAACGGTCAAGAACATAGGGATCTTGGAAAATGCGCTCACTGCGGTGGGAGTTTTCCACCCCGGATCCGATGTTTGACGGTCGGAGACCGAGAACGACCTCCGGAGGGCGCAAAAGAACACAATCAACTCGAATCCAGAACCTTGATTAGAAAAGAGCAAGCCACACAAACATAACATTCTGGGCGCTCCGCGCGGATTTCTTGGAGTCGCGCTGGTTACCCTCCCTGGCGCGCGGAGCGCGCCAGGGGCGGCGCCGGAGGCGCCGCCGTGGGGCCCAGGCACGGATCCACGAAATCCGCGCGGAGCGCCCAAAGTTCATGTTTGTTTGGTT